AAGACTTTTCCATAAAACTATGAAGGAATTTGCTGCAGTTGTATAATCCTTTGTGATGGGTGAAGTCCCAAATCAAGGCAGCCAGTGGGCTGAGAAATGGAGCCACCAGCTCAAGCCTGACAAACTTTGCATATTTGTTCAACAACCAGCTTGTCCTACTGTGGTGAGAGAGGGATAAGCCCTAGAGCAGACACCAGCTCTCCATGAGCCTCAGCCAGCTGTTTACACACCAGCACTTATGCCTTGTCCTTCAAAAACGGAAATGCGGCAGGAAAGCCATCAGATTCTCCCTTTTACCATTTTTTTTTCTCTCTTCGGTGAGGTCATAACAGCCAGCAAAATAAATGGGGGTGAGCACGCTATCTGGACCTTCAAATCTTCCTTTACATCCAGACGGCTTGGTTCGGATTTTATCTTGAAAGCTAATGAGATGCAGCAGGGCTTGAAAGCAGCGGTTTTACATAAACACTGACATTCAATGAGACAAAAACAGAGAAACAGGACATACTTTGCACTTACCATGTCCTAGTCACCTCTAAAAAACACTGAATCTAACTGCGATGTGGCTACTTGTGTCATTTTTTAAGTATTAGATCCACTGGGCGAGGCAATTGCACTGAACATCTGGGAAGGTCAAGATGCTGACGTAACTATTACTCACGCCTCCACTAATTATTTACCTCAGTCACAGCATCACATGGCTTTGGCCTCACCATTGTGCCAGTGGGATGAAGCACATTAGAAGCATTTGGTCATTAGTCATTAAGATAAATGCTAAATTTTTATTGCAGTTTGGAGCAAAAAGCACAAGATGCTAGTATGTTCCAGATTGAACTTCGCACAAAATAAATGAGTTCCAAATAAATGTACTGTATGAGTGGGAGCGTGTTCACATACCCTTGCAATCACAATACAAAGCTAAGTATATATAAACAGCAGTTTCACTCTTTCCACTCCATATTTATTTCCATAATTAGGTCCATAGGGGTGATTTAGAGCTCGAGTTGAGTCTCAAGCGTGAGCCCCTTCGTTACAGAGATCAAACCAATCCTGTTTACCTTTATTGCTTGCATAGATTTAATGTGAACTTCAGAAATCAGATTTTGTTTATGTTACTGTTTGTAAATAATAGTTAATTAGGTAGGGAATATGTATAGGATAAGGGGAATTGGATTGGGAATTGACAGGATAGGATGGTTAATTTAGTTGGGAATAGAAAGAATAGTGTTGGTGGGATATGGGGTTGAGGGAAAGGGAATTTGTAGCATATGGGTAGAAGAGGTTCGTGTAGAGAACTGGTTAGGGAAGTGATGGTAAAGGGAAGGGATCACTGTTGGGGGAACTACCTTGAAACTGTAGCTTTCAGATCTACAAGCTACTTATTGAAAGTAGTTAATGGGGTAGTTCACCCAAAGATCGTATCATTCTTTTAATTCTGTCATTATTTACCCACCATCATGTTGTCCCAATTCTGTTTTGTTTTTTCTTTCTTTACAGAATTGTAATTTTGAGGTGAAATATCCATTTAATCTACTTCTACCCTTAAATAAGTACACTACAAAGTAGCTAACTTTACCAAAGCTATTTAATAAAGCAATATCTTTTTGAAAATATTTAATTCTGCAAGTATTTATTTGGCACAAATTAATGAGTACCCTAGGATTGAAGTTGAACAAATAAATGTCCACTTAATTTGAAAGTAGAAGAATTGATGATTCATATTTGTTTGAAATGGATTCATATGGTTTTGAAAGAATCACTGAGTCATTTTTGAACCAATTCACCATTTGCATGCAATTGTTGAACCGTTTTTTGAACCAGTTAACGGTTTAAAGGGAATAATTTTTTGAACCAATTCACCACTCAAAATGACTCAAAAGAATTGGTTAATACATTTTTTTTACCAATTAACTGATTGAAAAGAATCTCTTTTTTATCTATTCACCGCACAGAAGGACTGAAAACAAATGGCACATCAATATTTTAAATGATTCATCATTTGCAAGGACATTAACTTTTACATAAACTGTTTGAAAAGATTGACATCTTGGCAAACTTATTCACGGAAATGTATTGAACTTCCAAACATATGAGTGAGAAATTTTAGGCAAATAAGTTTGAATAGTCCTTGTATTATTATTACTTTTAGTTAGTTGCTCCCCAACACATGTAGGAAATATGGATGTACTGCTGTTGCTGTTCATTGTAACTTGTATCTTGTGTTTCACAGTAAAAGCTAATGATCTCTCGATACTATTCCTCAGCTAATTGCCCAGACAGCACACAATCTAGTGCCTTCTGTTTCTGAAAAGTGTGTGATGCACATTTAAACCTGTAACATCCACTACTTCAGCTCTGAATCCTTCGGCTTATCCTTCTGGCATACTGTATCATTATGACCATACAACACAGCCACACCTGTTAACACAAGACACTTGACATATATTTCACCCATAGAGATAGACTTTAAAAGACATCTGTACTCCAACTATACAAGTTCTTTTAGCATTCGATTCCTGTCCTTCTCTCTATTGGCAGGGGCTTATTTCTTATATTACTTTGAAAAAGTTTTTTTTTTTCTTTTACTCATTGATTTTTAAGCAGTTCCTTCCAATTAGTTGCCGTTCTCAGCAGTGATAGCAGTTACCCAGAGGAGAGCGATAGACCCAGGCAGACAGGGAAAAAAAAAATCTTTGATTAGAAAACTGAGCAAATTCGCACAGACCTCTGTAAAGCCTGTCTAGTGTGACATCACAGGGATGCCACACCAGATTAATTCATTGAGCCTCTACTAATTGACAAAATTATTCACTGGAATGAAAAACCCTGTGCATCACATTTGGCTGATCTTTCAACAGTTAACCATGCAGAGATCAGTTCCCACTTGGCTTGGGGTGCTTTTTGTTGGCTCCATGGTTTCTAATAGTTTCTCTCAATGGATTGCTTTGATATTCTGTCACTATTTCGCTTGAAAGTTTTTTTCATGGAATGTTCCAAGGCCTCTTGTTTGTCATAGGCCGAGGGATCCTTCAGACATCTCAGGCCCGTCAACTATGTTGTTATCAGATGTCTTCAAGGACGTGTTTGGCGTGATTAAGGATAAGCACAATGAGAGGAAGTGGCACATATTTCCTGAATAAAACATTTTTTTTTTTTTGGTGTTATAACCTTCAAATAACTGTCACTGTTTGAAAAAAAACAAAAACACCAAGTTTAATTGTTCAATTATTAAAAATGTACTTACTAAATAATACTTTTCAGTATTGCTCAAAACAAGATGTTTATCTTTTAAAGACTATTCAGAAGAAAGACCTTTTAAAAAATGTGCTTCTTAATCGACCTTGTTTGAAGGCCATATATATTAGCAGCCATTTAACAGTAAATGAAAGAGAAAATAAAACACTGTGGGTAATGTATTTATAAATCAAGCTCGCATGGGATGTTTAGCAAAAGTAATGTCATTTCCAGTATTTCTATGATGCAATTTAATTATTATTAAAGCTCAACAAGCAAAGTATCAGATTATGACCAAAGGTGTTTAATTATTTATTACAAGTGTTGGGGAAAGTTATTTTTAATTGGCTCCATCACGCTCTCTCCTCTCCACCGATAGCTGGAGTGTGGTGAGGGCGCTGGAGCCGTTGTACTGTGGCTGCCGTACCATAATCCAAGTGGATGCTGCACACTTGTGGTGTTTGTGGAGAGATTCCCTGATATGATTGTGAATCCATTTAGGTGTACAGTAGTACATAGTAAAGCACTATATAAATGCCTCATTATTCTAAAAGTAATGCATTAAAATATTGTATTACTCCTTAATAAAGTAACTAATTGTGTTACTACTTTTTATAGAAAGTAATCCATTGTTACTTTTTCTCTGCTTTTTTTTATTTATTTTTTTATAACAAAACAAAGGTTATATTCTTGGCCAATGTAAAGCCCTTTCACACCAAAAGTTAAATGAATAAGCCTTAGACTGAAGGAAATGCAAATTCATGGCTGTACAGTTGAGGGCGCAGCTCAGACAAACCATTCTGGATCGCAGGAGAAGAAAGTTCAACATTTACTTTAGTAATAAAAACATGGAAAAAAGTGAAACACAAATGTGATGTGGTAAAGTCTCATTAGTTTTTTGCTCGTTAGTATGGTTGAATTGGATCATTAAAGGTCAGCAGCGAAGACATCGCTTGATAAAGTGAGATTGAAGTTGAGTGAATTGAATTGAATTGAATTACTTGTAATGTGTTACTCCACCACAGTTTATTATTTGTTTAGAGTTTTGTGTTTGCATTTTTATTCTAGATCTATTATTTAGTTTTCTTTCTTGTTAAAGGAACTGAATGTGTTTGTAACAGTGTTCAGAGTTCAGGAAAGAAGGAGGTGGGAATCGGCCCACAATCAACATAACTTTAATTCACAAAATAAACAGTAAAGTATAGCCCCGGAAAACTAAAGCAACCCCTCATGGACAACTGCCACATAAACTAAAACAAAACAACAACATAAAGCCAGGCCTGGTCCTCTATCATCCTTTACTGTCGTCGCTCGTCCTTTTGTACTTCCGTTCCCACAGCTCTCGGCCCCGCCCTGCTTGCCACAGTGTTTACTGGTGTTAACCATGAGATATAAGTCACAATTTAATAATTATACTTTTATATTAAAAAAAAAAATCTTTTTCTTGAATACAGCATAAACATAAGTCCTCAAAGTGTGAGTTTATATGCAAAGAGACTTCATTTTGGCGCAAAAAAGGACCGTTCCCGTGTACACAAGTGTAGGCATTGTAATGCATGAACTGAAAGGGGAATTTGGTGTCTAGAGGTTGCCATGGCTGCTAAAAGCTCTCTCGGTCACAAATGCACACCGTTTAGGTCCCTGCGTACCCCATAACTAACTATTCTTCTTGGCCCTGTCATCAAGACCCTGTTTGTTTTGTTGTTCTGTCAGTCATATATGCGACACCCTCTAATGCACTGTGTCCTGATTACTGTGTTTTGCAGAGACAAAGCCGGCCTGCACTTTCAACGGAGTGGAGTACCATGATGGGGACATGTTTAGGATGGACGCCTGCCGCTTCTGCCGCTGTCAGGGAGGGGTATCCGTGTGCTTTACGGCCCAGTGTGGCGTCCTCCACTGCGAGCGCTACTACATCCCTGATGGAGAGTGTTGTCCGGTTTGTGAAGGTTAGATGACCCTTGCATTAGCTCAGGAAACCGCATATACAAGAAAATATTCCTGTTCTCCGTACACTGTTTGATAAGAGCATAAGCTGTCGTATATGTGCACCTTTCTCCAAATGATACAAGCAGTCTTTAGCATTTAGCACCTTGTGCCTTAGGGCCTCTTTTGCATTTGCTGTTGATGCTCTGCCTGTAATTGAGGTGATTTTTGTGAATTTTAATGAACTATGTCATCCAGGTCCAAAACTAGATTCTAAAGCAATTATGACGTGACTAGTTTTTTAACTTTAAAGAGGATATTGTGCATTTTTACATTACTTGATGGGGAAGATTCTGTCGATTGGACGTTACATTTGCGGGAAACATTTGTTTTGTGCTTTGTATTCTACCAATTCAATGAGCATCCAAGGCTAATTAGTTCAGGGAAACTGTTCATTGTTTTATTTTGTAGACAACCTGTAATAGGCTTCAAGGGAGTATGTAATTTCGATTGCAATGCTTCTCTTGTGGGTAGGTTCTGTTGTCCAATACATAATGGCTTGAAATTACCTTGCTACGTTTTCTGCTCATGCTATATTTATCAGATTGTGGTCATGTTGTAGTTTGCGAATGATTTTGCTGTTATGTAGTTAATTAAAGCAAAACTCCCCAGTCCCCTGTAGCTTTCCTCCTGAGTTTTACTGCAATGAATTAAACAAATGAAAACGGCCAACTAAAGTTAGAAGGCTCACAGTAAATATGAATCCATGTACTGACTATAAAGGAAACAATTCATTGGAATCAACAACTTAATCATTAACCTTTTTGACCTCAAGGGTCCCCATTGTCCACAAAAATTTTCACCTGACTTTGGCATAACTATAAAGTGACCATGGAGTTAAGATTTTATTAATTTACATTACTTTTCTGGTTTAGAAATCACACTTTTACAATTGTGCAAAAAAATAAATTATAGGCCCCCTTGGAAGTTTTCTGAGGCCCCCTAGTCTTAAGTTGCGGTTACATTAGCAAAATTGCACGGGTAAAAAACTTCCATTGTCAATAGTCTGTCAATATATGAAGCAGAGTTCACCCAATGTCACTTTCAAACCAGTTTCTATTGGTTGCAACACGGCCAACTTGAACTTAAGGCAAAATCTGCATTGGGAAATCATTTGCTCTTGAGCGAAATTCAATATTGCATGGATTTCTATTGAAATGACTCCACTCTATTATTCAAAATTCTGTAAAAGTGAACCCACCTTTAGAAATAATACTCTGGCTCATCCTTCATGTATGTTGCGTTTGTTTATTTTAACTCTGTTTTCAAGTGTAGAAACTCTGACCCTGCTGGAAAATCCATTAAGCTGATACCTGTTTTGGAACATGGTTGAACATAAAACACTGTAAAGCTCTGACAGTGTGAATAAACAAAATCACACAATCTCAGAGCCTGAATTTTCCATAATATCTGTGTGAAAGGGAGTTCTTGAAACAGCAACAAACCAGCCAAACTGAAGGTGGTCAGGAACCGTCTGCTATATGTTCTGAAACAGCATAAACTGACCTTTCCAGCAGGGTTCACTGTAGAGGATGTCAGGATGTTCAATGTCTTTTTGCTCTCGTACCTTCTCCCGTATAGACCCCATCTACCCGGTGCTCAATTTAGCCGGCTGCTATGTGAATGGCCAGATCCTGGCTCACGGAGACCACTGGCGTGATGACGACTGCACCTTCTGCCAGTGTGTGAGTGGAGACGCCCGCTGTGTGGCAGCTGCCTGTGGCCACAGCTGCCTCAATCCTGTCACCGTTCCCGGAGAGTGCTGCCCCGTGTGTGAGGGTAAGTACACATGCACTTTATGGATGTGGGATGGAGTTGTGTTGTATTGTTCTTGGACCTGAAAGTACATGGACAGAAATGTTTCTAGTTATGTGTCATCATGAAATTTCAAAATGAAAACAAACAAAAATAACGAGTTTATTCGACTATTTCTTTTCTTCCTTGTAGGCCAGAAACGAGATTTCCTTAGATTTCCACTACGCATGCGCGAGAATTGCTATCTGCTTACACTACTTCAGATCCCAATTCTCGCGCTTGCGTCGTGGAAATCTAAGGAAATCTCGTTTCTGGCCTACAAGGAAGAAAAGAAATAGTCGAATAAACTCGTTATTTTTGTTTGTTTTTTCGCACAAAAAGTATTCGCGTCGCTTGATAAACATATAGTTGAGCCACGGTAGTCACTTGGGATATTTAAACATTTTCTTCATTGACTTTCTGGGCCGTCAAGAGGCAGTCCCTTAGGAGCCAATGTGGTAGTTATACAGCTCTCAAATTTAATCAAAAATATCTTCATTTGTGTTCCGAAGATGAACGAAGGTCTTACGGGGTTGGTATAGCATGGGGGTGAGTAATTAATGACTTAATTTTCATTTTTGGGTGAACTAACCCTTTAATATGTACTCATTTGTCTACAAAACGATGAGGTCATCACAGTGAGTGACGATTCGACGAATCAGTGAATTGTTTTTGAACTGCTTGACTGAAATGGCTGAATCTCTAAAATGAATTGGACTTCTGAGCGAGCACTTTCTCTGTTTCTTCTCAATGTTCTGTAGTACTCTGAATGTTTTGAGTTTCCATTCCAGTCACATACTGTATGTGTGAATAATCTATTAGACCGAGAGCAGGACAGGCAGATGCATACCTGGAACCCCCATCCAGCACAACCTAAACATCTCCATCGCCTCATATCTCAGGTCTATATGCGTTGTGTCTCCTTTACTGTCATGCAACGCTACACCAAAACCCTTCCTGTGGATTTCCCTCCAGTAGACCTTGCTCCCTACCCTCGCCAGCAGTGGAATATCATATCCCACCTGCCCATGTATTTTTCATACTGCTCTCAGATCTGTTGCGGCTACCCCTGGGACTTCCACTCCCACTGCAGCTGGCTGGGTTTTCCTCTCAGTGTTTGTTGCGAGCAACGTTTTGTATCCCATCACAAGATTAAGCACCGCGAGGTGTGGACGCACACTTCGGTATGCAGGAACGCAGGTTGGTTTTCCAGGGCGTGGGCTACATTCTTGTAGAGAGGGTTTATAAAGGTTATTTCACACATGGGAAGAAGCGAGCAAGTGATAGATGAGTGGCAGGAATGTCGGATAATGAATTTCTCCCAGGATTGGCTGTGTGTGTCGACCGATGACATCATCCTTTTGAATAAAGCCGGAGAATATAGATTTTCTCACGTCTCCGTTTGCCGTCTAGATTTTCAAATCACAAAGTTACATAATGTTCTTTTCAGCCCGTGTTATTCACAGACTTGGGACCGGGAAAGGAAAGCTTGTTCAGAGCGATTAGCAATCTTATCAAGCCATCCTAAATGCCAGACTGACAATATGTGTGGAGGAGGTTATGAAAAACCATACTAAACAACCTGCATTTTCTTTTTGTGGCTGTGGGGGCGAGACTCCACCAACTGTCGTGTTGATTATGATCAATGCAGTTCCAGTGAAATTGAGTCACACCGGGGGTAATAGGATTCCTGTCTGTCTCATCTACCCTCTACACCTTCAACCTCCTTCCAATTAAAGATCCAAGCAAATGAAGCATCCTTCTTTTGCTCCGGCTCAGTATATTGAGAGAAAACAACGCCTGGAGTGCTTCGTCTCATAGTGGTGCTTGCTAATAGTAAAGGCAAGCCTTACTGTGGCTCACACTCGGGGTTATGCGTGTCAACAAATGTGCCACAGATATGAGTGATGCCTCAAACTGTGTGGCTTGTTGAGAAGCAGTTTCTAAGCAGTCTGATTTCACATGCCGTATGATAAATCTTTTGAAAAATTGATTTTAAGCTGGGACATTTAATTTTTTACTGCACAAAAACGTACATTTAAAAAGGGAATTTTTTTTTATTTGTTGCTGTTAGCTTTTGCATGTTTAAACACTCAACATGCGATCATAAAGTGTTTAACATTTTGAAAAAACTCTAGAATAGACACTTTATTATGTCAGTTTTACTATTCTGATGCCAGGCTACAGTTGTTATAAATAATCTTTGAATACTCTCAAATAATAATCGTAATTATAATAATTTATAATATATTTTCTATATACAAGCAGAATATACCATGATATATATATATATATATATATATATATATATATATATATATATATGATATTTTTGTTTGTTTTGCTTGCACAACCACTATTCACATTTTCTTTTAATATAATTTAATATAATTCAGGATGCAAAGTGTGTGGTTAGCGGTCCTAAAGACTTGAGGTTGTTTGAGCTGGTTGAGGTAGAGAGATAGCCTGGGAAAACCCAGACAATTTCCGGCAAATTTAGATTTGCTCTGAAAGTTAGTCTGGCAAAGAGCTCATTCAAGCCCATTTCCAATCCGTCGAAATCGTGGCACCAATCAAAAATTACAATTCGAATCAGCTATCGCGACTGTTGTAAGCGATTTGAACGTTTCCTTTTTGTTAAACCAAGCAAAGAACAACACTCGGAGATGTTTCTCCTTCATCGCTCTGATTGGTTTTAGGTCTACCCGCGACGTCCGTTGGTGACGCCCCTCTGGAAATGATTTGTCTATGACGCTTTGCCAGACCACAACTCTGTCTGGTTTTAACAAGGCTTGTAGAGAGAGGGGAAAAAAAGCAGTGGATGGACAGAGAGTGACAGCAGCATGTCTGCAGACCTTCGCAGTGCAGCATGCTCACATTCACCCCTTTTCAATTAATCTTTCATACGCCTTTTGGCCTGTGAAGCAATTAGAGGTTTAGATGGGTCTGCCTGACCGTGGAGAGCACTCACTTCGGTACTGAGGTGAAGTGAGGGGGTAGTGCACTATGGCTTTCCATGCAAAGTTCTATTCACACAATACTGACGATGCACCTCTAAACACATCTCAAATACAGCGCTCGTTCTTTATTTGAATTCTCTCTTTCTCTCTCTCTGGCTCTTTCTCCGGGCGGTGCAGAGGTAGATCAAAGGCAGTGTGTGTGCCTGCTCATCATCACGGACTGCAGTGAAAGGTTAAGCACAGACAGACTACATGAATGTGAAAATATTCGAAATCCTCCCACTGTGACGGCAAGGTGACTAACCAGTTAGTGCTTCATATGAATTCATCACTCCGTATTTTGCTCTCACACTCAAGTCAGTCAAATGGATATGGTATTCTTACTTCCATGGAGGACAAAAAGAGAAGTTTAGCAGATTGTCTCACAACATTAAAGGAGTCCACGACCATATTTACACTTTCTACCACTGCTCAAAAAAATGAGTTATCTTCCACAATCTCTTTACAGTGGAAGTGAGTTTAAAGCTTTCTAGCTCCAGAAATGGCTGAAAGAGCACCATAAAAGTGGTCTCATATGTCTACTGAAGTCATAAGATACCTTTGTGCGATGAACAGACCAACATTTTAATAACTAAAACTCATTTAAAATCTTTAAAGGCCATAACTCACCAAAGCAACATCAAAGAACTAGCGGCAACAAAGGTTAACTGTGGTGTCGCCTCACATTGCCTCAAGTTTCGTCGCCTCAGGTTAAACACACCACAGATACTACAGACAATGACCAACTAGCATGTATGTTCTGCACCTCTTTGAGAGAAAAAAAATATAGTAGTCTGTATTCGTCATTCAATATATTTGATATACAGAATGTAAACAAGCCATGCTTGCTTAAATGAGTAGTTCCCTTTTAAAAAAACTTTTGCGGATAATTTACTGACCCCCATGTCATCCAAGATGTCCATGTCTTTCTTTCTTCAGTCGAAAAGAAATTAAGGTTTTTGATGAAAACATTCCAGTATTTTTCTCCATATAATGCACTTCATTTCAGCGGCAAACGGTTCAAGGTCCAAAAGACAGTTTCAGTGCAAACTGTTCAAAGGGCTTTAAACGATTCCAGACGATGAATAAGGGTCTTATCAAGCGAAACGATCGCTCATTTAAAAAAAAAAAAAAAAGTTTAAGGGTCGCCTTGCTCTGTTGGGGTTAGGGTTTGGGTGTGATACGCGTTCGTGACTCTCCTATTCGAACTCGTTCATCAAAATGAACAAATCTTTTCCCGAGTCAATTTGTTCATTTCGTTTGTTGAATGAACCAAATGACACGAAAAAAGATTTGTTCATTTTAATAAACGAGTTTGAACAGGAGAGTCACAAACGCGCATCACAGAACAGAGCAAGGCAACCATTTGAGCTTATAAAACTTAAACTGTGTTATTATTATTTTTTTTTTTAAATGAACGATCGTTTCGCTTGATAAGACCCTTATTCATCGTCTGGAATCGTTTAAAGCCCTTTGAACAGTTTGCACTGAAACTGTCTTTTGGACCTTGAACTGTTTGGTTCCCATTGAAGTCCATTATATGGAGAAAAATCCTGGAATGTTTTCATCAAAAACCTTAATTTCTTTTCGACTGAAGAAAGAAAGACATGGATATCTTGGATGACATGGGGGTGAGTAAATTATCAGCAAAAGTTTTTTTTGTTTTTTTTTAAGTGAACTACTCCTTTGCTAAGCTGGACTGCCAATCACAGTGATGTCTGTTAGTGTCACATCCTTTACTCACACAAACCTATCAAATGGCTTCAGAAGACTTGGAATATAGCATTTGTGATCATATGCACCCCTTTTATTTTACTTCTGTTGTGTTTTTTCATCATTTTAAATGAGCTATTCCTGTATCTGGAATGGTATCCAGAAGTTTGCAGGTTTGAACCCAGCAAGGAGCCATTCATTAACTGTTAGCATGGGGCCCTTGAGCAAGGCCCTAAGTTGCTGCGGGGCTATTATACCCTGTAATAAATATTG